AGGGTATAAGTAGGGGCTCGTCTGGAACTTTCAGTTTAGATGTCGATTTTTAGACCTTCTCCTGCAGGCAACTGGACCCTAACAAGGCCGTAGTTTAAGAGAATGTTTTTTTCTTTTATTACATTTTTTTTGAGGAAAAAATTTAATAATTTTTTTTTTGCTTTTTCATATATCTCTATTGTCAAATATCCTTCTATTACTATTTTTTGGTGTTTTTCTACTACGTTTTAACTACAAACCCAACCCTTGTCAGATCGAAGGTGGTGGGTGGTTCACTCAGAATTGCCAACTGATTGATGCCTCACAGCCTCTCATTCTGTGGAAGTGCCTCGAGAATCACTGTGACACCCTAATCTTCTAGATGGCCGAGATTTATTCTTTTTATCCCCATGGGGGAAGAAAAATAAAAATTATTTTCATTTTTTTGGATCCAATTTTTAAAAGTACATTTATTTTTCCTTAATCTTTTTGAGGTCGCTCTAGGGTTTTACTAAAGGTTGTGCTAGCTTTAATACCAAAGTTTAAGTTTTTAACTGGTGTTAAGAATAGTTTATACAACAAAATCTAAAGTTGAGAAGGTATTACCATCAAATGTTAACCTCGCTGAATGAAAGAATAAACTACCTTAATATATGAAAACAATTTTTAAATATTTAATTCTTTTTTAATCCTATAAATTATCATTATTTTAAACTCTGCTCTTGTTGTACTCATTTTACCTCAGAATTAGGTTGTAAGCCTTAAATTAGACAAAGAAGATTTAAAGTGAAATCCAAGTTCCAACTATCATCAAAAAAGAACTGATTGTGATTATTTAGGTGTAGAGCAAGAAATTTATAACATCATTAGGCATGATTGTTGTTATTATTTTAATTGCAATTGACGGTATTTTACAGAATTTTTGGTTAATCTTGATTTTCTGTTCTGGGAAACATATCAACCTAGATTTAATTAGTGATAATCAGGGGCAATCTGTGCTATTTTTTATTGTTGTAAAAACAATCCCTTTTTCGAGGATGACACAATAATTAGGATTACAAAAAATTATTAACTGGATTCAAGATGCCAACAAGATTCATTCTCTTATTGAAGCTTTGCTGTAATTGGCAAAGAATTTTTCTGAAATAAGGACAAGATAAGTAGATATTAGACTTATTACAAGACTTATGAATTCCATTGACTCAAATTTAATTATTTTTTTTTTAATAAAAGCGGGTAATTAACAAAATATTGCATTATTTAAAAACCTGACAAAATTATGAATATACAACACAAAACAAAATTTGAGAGTTCTTAGTTTGAAAGAAGTCAAGCGAAAATGAGAATTGTTGCTAGAGTTACTCGAAGGAGATCAATCGATTCATTCTATAGTTAATCTTCTAAAACATCCAAATCCAAAATTACTCTTCATCTTAAAGACAATTTAAAAAGAACAAGAAGTTATTCAAATTTTATTTCTACATATGATTAAGATTCACACATAAAAGAAGCATATTAGACTTCAAAAGGTGGCCAAGATGAATTCTTAAAAGGGCAAAAGAAAGATAGTTCCCAAAGTAGAAGCTCATCGCACCAATCGTCTATGTAACTAAATCAAAATAATAGAAAAGATGATCTGAATGACATTTATGAAATTCGAAAAGATGAAGTGGATTTCAGAAAATTTAACTAAAATTTTTAGTTGGATGTTCTTTAATTGGAAGCCTTATATTATTGGCTTTCAGTTTTTGGGTTTCAGCGTTCTGCTCCCTTATAAATCCCACCTTATTTAAGCTACTACATTTATTCTTTAATTTTGTATAGAAGTGACTATGCCAAAATTTTGACTTAATATATGGATATTTATGATAGAGATAATTATCACTTATGGTTAAAGAGATAGCAAAGTAAATACTTAAAGGAGAAGCTTTAAAAATAATGCATATCGTAAATTTAATTTGCGAGTGATTTTGAAATAAACCATTATTATGAATTTATAATCTTTAGTTATCTGGACTCCTTTATTCAAAAACTAAATCTAGATTATAAAGTTCTTTTAGATGATTTCCTTAAATATTTTTCATTATCAAATCTTTAAAAAGATAAAATAGAATTATCTTTGAAAGAAGATTACATTCATCGAAAAAATAACATAGCCTTTGGAAATATCAGATTTGTTTTCAAATAAAAAGATGGAATTTTGGTTGATTTTAAACTACCAATAGGGAAATTTGAAGACTAACAATTTTGCGATTATGTTTAGTTTTAGACAGAGTTTGCTAAATAATTATCATAAGCTGAATCAATTTAGTCTTTTAACCAACATCGTACTGAACCCCATTGCGAAAGAACTTTGATATTATTTCTTTTAGCAGACATTGAATTAAATAAATCTATATTTAAGAGTTTAAATTAGGATTTGATTAATTAATAAAAAATAGATAAAATTGATAACCTTACAAAAATATGCCTGGAAATAACCACTGAAAATAGAGTTTGTAGTAGATGTGTAAGTATGTTTTAATACATACCAGTTGAGTTTATTTGTAAAAAATTTAAGTCAACTTTTGGTTTGAACATAGATCAAAAATTTTAATTTATTATCATTTCGCAATATTTATTGGATCCTTAAATAGAATAACAAGTAGGAAAATACCAAAAGATTTGGATAAGAACACCTTAGGGATAATAAATTAAATAGTAGTAAAAATAAAAAAAAGATTTTCAAACTCTTTCTAATTAACAAGTGAACAGCTACTCAGAAAATTTTTCAGAAAACATTTAACCAACTAAATAAAATGAGAATCCTTTAGAATAAACTGATTCTTAATCAATTCCAAAAGAAGACTTTCTAAAAGAGAATTTGCAATAATAAATTGAATAGGAGGAAATAAAAGAATAAGAATTATTAGTTTGTTATGAAGAACAAGAACCTACAGGATTGGTTTCTGTGTTATTATTAAAAGAAAGATATTGTGTTGGAGATTGCAGTAATTTCAAAGAAAAAGTTGATCAAATAAAAATTACAAATACATTTTTCTTAAGTAATGAAAAACAAGAAACTCCCTCATAGAATTCTTAGAGTAGCAAATAAGAGATTAATATCGACTCTAACTCTTAATCATCAAGATAGAAATTATACTCAAATAGATTATATCTTGAGTTAATATTCTACAAAGAAAAATTTGTAAATCTTCTTAAAGATTTTTCAAACATTATAGAAGGAAAATAATTCTTAGTCTAAAATAATTTTTAGAAGCACTAACAAACTTTTAAAAAATAAGAAGATCTATTATTAGAGACTAGATCCTAATTTTATACCTTATTAGTAAAGAAATTTACATCTGAATTTAAATAACTAAACACATAGTAATTCAATTTAAATACGATCTTGAGTATCTACTGGGAGATTGGAACTCTTTAAGGTATTAAGGCATCTCATGCTGATTTAATTGATGCTTTAAAAGAAGAATTAATGCTAAATAGCATTATTTAGTGTGGAAATTTTAATATGGCATTATTTCTATCTGATTATACATTCTTAAGCAAATTCATTACTCCATAAATTTCCAAAGAAATCAGAAAGAAAAATGAAAACTTTAAAATTTTAATTAATTTTTGTTAAGTACAAATATTTGGTCAAGAAGAGTCTGGTAACATTAAAAAAATTTTTACTTTCAACTAGGCTAAAGATTGTAATTCACTATCCTAATTGATAGAGTAACAAATAAATACAGTAATCAAAAAATTTTAAAATATTTTAATAACTATCTTGTCAGTTGATAGGATTAAATAATAATGTATAGAGAGAATTAATAATTAAATTCTTAGTTTCCATCATTCCAATATAGAACTTAAGTACTTTTCTATTAAATAAAAGTAAAGATAGCATGTTTAATAATTCTAATCAAGATAATCATAAATAACAGAATAAGAATGGGATCTTTTAGAAAGTGAATATTATAAATAAAGATATACACTCTCAAAAGAAGGATTGTTCCTTTCTTATAAACAATTGAGTGAAAATATTGATGAAGAATTGTTTAGTTTTGAATGTTAGGTAAAGTTAGTAATTAATTATTTATAGCTCCACAGTTAGAATATTAATATGTGAACCTATAAATCAAGAAATGATATGAAGATCAATTATATACAAAAATGGAAATTATTATTTTTTTTTTTTATTCGCAAATAGATCTTAAATATGTATCTTCTAATGAAAATTAGCTTTCAAAATTACAGACCTTTGTCTCTAAAATCAAATAAACAGATGACTATTGTTGATCAGTAATATAAAGTAATATTTATAAATCAATAATTAATCAAATACTAAAGAAAACAGCTTAATGAAATTAAGTTAGTATCAAAATTAAGTTTCATTATTTATATAAACTTAATATGAAAATAATTATTATTATTAAAAAATGATAAACAATTAATTGATGTTTTTGATCATCAATTCAAATTTTTTAGTTACTAATACTAGCTTATATATTATTAGCCTAAGATATTTCCCACATATTATTGCTAAGTAATTAGTAAAAATATTAGTTATCAAATTTATCATTAGTACTTCATTCTTTCTTTAGTGATAGAAACTTGTTTATATTTGGAATAAATACAAAGATAAAGTTTTTCCTTATAGTACTCTGTTTTATCACTTAAATGAAAACTTCCATAAGCATTTTATGAAATTAAATGAAATTTATCATATATAAAAATAATGTAATAAAAGAGGTATGATTCTGTACGTAAGAATAAATTGTAAGTACATTAATCATAACCACTTCAGCTGTAGTACTCTTCATAGCCTAAACAAACACCTAACAAATTTCAAATTGCTAAGATTGGGAAAGATGTTGCACCTACAATCATCCCTGCATTGATCGATATGATCAATTAAGAAACTGATGTGTATTATTTATTCGACTCATTTCACTCTATTCTGAATTCAGTGAAATAAGCCGAAGAGGATACTAATATTACTTAAAAGAACAAGCAGCATACACTAGATTGGTGGAAAGTTACAGGATCTAGTTAAAGTTGGACAGGGGTACGAAATATTCAACCACTTTCAGAATCTCATATGAAGCAATCATCACGTTTTCTTGATAGTTATAATAGCAGAGGGTCTGCTATTATTGAAAATCTTAAACGTTAAATAGGAGAGTTGACAGAAGAACAAAAGTTTAAGCAAAACTCTCGGACAATTGGCTAAGTTTCGATTAAACTATTTGATGAATAAGAACTCTATGTTGAAATGTCAAAATAAGGGAGAACTTTGATTACTCTATATCAAGTGTAAAATAAGTTTCATAAATGTCATATGGGTTTTTGCATATATAGTGTTTTTGGAGATTTGCAAGAAAAAGAGAGCATAATTAATAAAATGTATGTGGCCAAGTGGCATAGAAAAAATGGCAACTTTTTGAATCTTGTCACAGAATTTATTTAATATATCATCAAAAACGAGGCTGTAAATAAAATAAAAATAAAAATAAACTCAACATAAGGGCAGCTAATTAGGCACCTTTAATAATTAAGCTTTAAATTAGCTTCTACTGTACCATTAATTAATCAAATAAAAGTACTTACATTTGTTCTAATCTCAAAGGAATTCAAAATTTGATTATTTAATTTTGTTATTTTGTTTATTATTGTTATCTAATTCACTTAGTTCAGAAAAAATTATTTTATTTATTAAAGAATACACGAAATGCTTAATACAAAATATTTAGATTAAGACAACTTATTTGAATTGATTATTTTCTAAGGATATAAAAATCTTGTGTTCTATTGGAATTTCGCTAAAGGAATAGTCAACACAAAAGCAGAGATTCAAGATCTTTTGAAACAAAATAGAATACAAAATATATATGGTGTAAGTGAAGGCCTGAAAGGATTCAGCCAAGCATTTTCAAGCGAACCCATTACTAATTTCAGATACTTTTTAACAAATTATTTTAAGTTCACCATTTATGAAATGTGTTCAGGTGTGAAAATTATTTTACTCTCCAACATTTCTGATTAAACTGATTATTCAGAAACCCTTAAAGAGGTGTACACAAACTATTTGGAAATTATCAAAAGAAATCCATTTTATGTTCACGGAGAGCCTTTGGATAATCCTTTATTTATAGAAAAAATTACAGATATTTTTGAACCATTTCAAAAGAAAAAATGAATTAATTTTATACATAAATTAATAAATAAAATATATATCGTTTATCAATAAATCACACATCTTTCCCACCAGCTAGGATATGAGGACTTTGATTTAAAATATCGAATCTAAAGTTTAATAAATTTGATACCAAATATTTACGTCCTTCATTCCAAATGATTATCAAAATACCAAAGGGAAGACCACAGATACCATAATGAATAAATAATATGTCTCGAGTACCAAAACTTGCATTGAATACTTCAACATAGGAAAGACTTAATGTGATGAGCAACTCCAAAAAGTAAGCTAAATACATATGAACATTATCAAATCCTATAATTTACAATCATATTTACCATTATAGATTAAGGAATTTTTAAGTTATCTTAAAGATTAATAATTACATATCTATCCTAAAACTACACCAAAAAAAAATGAAGTTTATGCATAGCTTGACGCTTCAGTATGATAACAATATTGTTTATTTGTAACAGGTGAAATCATCTCAATATTGCATTGACCCCATTCTATACTAGAAACTATCTTTCTATTTTCACATTTCAATAGAGTCATTCTTAAATCGTAAGCCCCGTGTTTTGCATATATCCAATCAATATCTGTAGATCCCCTTAAATGAGTACCTTCACATACCCCATTTGGATACAGTTCTCTTAAATTAGAATTTCCAAACCATGGATCTCTTGGATCATAAATATCATTATATTTAGGAATAACTCCTTATTTATTAAGAAGAAAAAGGAGAGATTAAGGAGTGAATCCAAAATCATTAAAGCAAACATACCATTGAAAAAACCCACAACACGTTTCTAATACTCCATTTTAAGCGTACGCATATATTATTAATTAACTACTGACTAAATGTTCATTTTTATTCCTAGGTCTTCGAGTCATAATGTCCAAATCAGCCTCTTCAAAAACAAATACCATTGATGGAAATATGTCTGTACCAATTTAGACACATAAAACCAGAACAGTTGTTAAAGGCAATGGAACTCGAAAAATTATAAAAGCTAAAAAGGGTATTAATTCAGCAGTGTTGGCAGTTAATGCATATGCAATTACTTTTTTAAAATTATCAAATATTCTCCTACCTTCTTAAATTCCCACAACAATATTAGAGAAATCATCATTCAAGAGTATCATATCTGCTGCATCTTTAGCCACGTCTGATCCTGTTAAACCCATAGCAATGCCAATATCAGCTTTTTTTATTGCAGGTGAATCATTTACACCATCCCCTGTTACAGCAACAATATGACCTCTCTTTTAACAAGCAGTCACTATGATCAATTTTTAAGCTGGACTTGTTCTTGCAAATACTAATTGTGGTTTGCATAACCATTCTTAAAGAGGCTTCCCTTTTTCACTTTCTGGTAATCCTTCATCATCAAGCGCCATTTTAGTTAACAAATCACCATGAATTACTAATGCATTTGATAGATGGATAGCATCTTCCATAATCATTTATTTTTCTTCCATGATTTCATTAACAGTTTTTTCTGTTATTATGTTACATTGCTTTGCTATTGCTGCTGCTGTTACCGATTGATCTCCTGTGACCATTATAACTTAAATATTAGCTGATTTACACTTTTAAATAGCCACTGGAACAGATTCTTTAGGAGGATCAATTAAGGATATCAAACCTATAAATATTTGTTATTCGTATGGAAAATTATAATTGTCCATATCAAATGAATAATCTTTTGGATATTCAGATTTTGGTAAATTTAATCTACAAAATCCCAAAACTCTTTCGCCTTGTCTGCAAAATTTATTATTAATTTCATTGAATTAATGATTCCAATCATCATTAATTTCTTCAACTTTTTCTTGATTTTAAATCCAATTGCACATCTTCCAAATTCTTTCAGGTGCTCCTTTTGTCAATAGGCAATAATAGGAATCCTCCAAATCCTATTCAATTATAACCATAGAGTATTTGTTTGTTGAATTAAAGGGTTTTCTTGCCTGTTAATTGTTTTTACCATTTGCTACTTAGTATTTCAACCTAGTTTTTAAAATATCATTTATTGGCTAAAAAAATTTAATGAGAGCAGTTTCTGAAGCATCTCCAATTGTAGGCTTTTCTTAACAACTTAACCTCTAGAAGTTATTTTGCCATTTAATCTTTGCTTCTTCTAATTTGATTGCTTTTTATTCTTAAGATAATCCAATTTCGTTCATTATCTTCATAGAAATATTTTAAGGAATTGAAGCATCAAAAGTGGCTTCTGAGCACAAAATTGCACTTTCATGCAACAAATCGAAACACTACTCTCCAGATTAATATTCATAATTAAAGGAAGCTCCAAATCTTTCTTTGTTAATTCCTTTCACTTCTTTTCCATTATACCACAAATTTTCAACAGTCATTTTATTTTAAGTCAAAGTACCTGTTTTATCAGTACAAATGCAAGAAGTAGACCCAAGAGTTTCAACCCCTTCTAAATTTTTAACAAGAACTTTAAGACTAGCCAATTTTTTTGCTGTTATTGCTAATGCTACAACTACTGTGGCTAATAACCCTTCTGGAACTATTGCAGAAATTATTCCTATCGCAAAAATTAAATTTTAAATAGCCGCTATTTATAAAAATATTTGATACGATAACCAACTGAAAAACCCAAAACAAAAAATAAAATTCCTATGGTTAAAGCTATACGAGCAATATAAATTGTAAATTAGTTCAGCTCTTTCTTTAAAGGTGTTTCTTCTATGTTTGAATTAGAAACTAATCCTGCTATTTATCCGATTACAGTCTTGTCTCCTGTTTATATCACCACTCCTTTACCATTACCCTAAAAATTAAAATTTAGATTCTACTTCTTTACAAAGAGTTCCAAAAAATGCAAGATTCTTTGTCTCTAAAGGATTTTCCTTATGAGTACAATCTATTGTACGAAGAAGAGGAATTGATTCGCCTG